TATTATTATTATTATTACTATCGTATTATATATAATATAATATTATATAATGAGGGACGCGGGTGTTACCTCTGGGGGAGACTCATTGATGAACGCAGAACGTCAGGGAAAAGAAAATTCGATGATGATGATGATAATATTGTACTTGATTGGGTCCAACCGAAATGAAAACAATTGAAGGCATTGGTGGCAGTGGTGTCCCCCTCGGTGAACTGCTTGGTGCCGATGCTCGTCGAACTTTACAAAAATACGGGAGGCTTGCTTGACGAGAGACGGCTCTTTGGGGTCCTTAGCCTGTACTCGGTTCGAGCCAACAGTCTCGCCGCCGAAACCCTCGGCGTCGCCCCGGAGTTCGTCTCGGTGCCCGTGATCGGTGGTGCCTGCTCCAAGAGCTGCGTGCCCCTTTTTTCTCGGACTCGGCCGTGCGCTGACTTTACACCCGTGAGTCCACTTATACGTTATAGTCCTGTATAGTAACATCCATCGTCGGGGAGAACGGCCCGGTACGGAACCATTCAAAACTTGTAGTAAAACATAAATAGCTCTGTTAAAAAGTGATGAATGAGATAAGTGCTTGGGGGTGTGGGGGCACATTGCAGTTTCGAGTCTGCCCATCCAGCCATTCATGTTAATGTTTGACTACTTATTAGCCTTTCGTTCATCATGATAATTATAATAATGATTGTGCGTCGTTGACCGCAGGAGGAGCTGAGCAAGCTGATGCACGCGATGAGAAACTCGGACAATCTGGTCAAGAGTAGTGCAGCTTACGAGGAGAACGGCGACGGCTCGACCGACTCCTCAGCTTGGTGCCTTGGCTTCGCAGCCGCCAGATTTTCCATCTCGCTGTGCAAAGGTCAGAAATAATGAGCGATTTTTTTTTTTTCAATTTATAAATAATACTATGTTTTTTCTGTTTTTTAAAAAAAAAAAAAAAAAAAAAAAAACAGAACTCAGTTGTTCATACATGAATCCAGCATAATGTCACACTGTCATTACTCACGATCGACACATTAGACTCACGCGTAAGAGCGATCCTACGAAAAAAAAATCACCAGTTGGTTATTAGCTTCTTGTTGAAATAATTATTTACGTAACAAGTACGCGGATACTTAATAAGATTAGTTAACGCGACACCATTTGCCTACAAGATTTCATAATTTTCTCTTTCTTTTACTTAATGTCTCAAGTACAATCTTGTAGTAAATACAAAACAAATAATTAGTTGTGACACACGTTTTTTTTTTTTTTTTTTTTTTTTTCTTCAAGTTTTATCAATCCCACGAAAAATGTTCAGTTATTATCAAATTGTATGAAAAAGTTTGAAAAATTTATTTTGTTTCGTAGAATACATTGAAATACTTTAGAAGGCTCGAAATAATGTCCTACCTTATTTATACACACAGTATTTTCCAATTTTTACACACCTGAAGGCATGGAGATGATATCAATCTTTACCCATTATCTCGCCAATCACTAGAGTTTTTTTGTGGAATTTCTCCTACATCCTCATTCTCTTGGGCATGTGTCTGTGTGACAATTCCATTGATCGGAAACTAGTATCCACAACGTAATTTATACCTTTCATTCTCAATGCCAAGTGCTTGTTACGAATAAAGTAAATAAGA